CTATTGAGAGGTGCTTTTCACCACCAGCAGGTGACATTGTGAGGAAACAAGGCCAAGAAGCTGTTGAATGTGTTCAAACTATCACAAAGCAGGTGTTGTTTCTGCTCATGTCTGAAAAGCCTGAAAGCATTTACAGTGTCTTGTTTCCTCTATGCTGTTATAAAGTCAAGTGCAGATTTCATATCATAGAATCATAGTCATAGAATCATAGAATAATGGTTGGACTTGATGTTCTTAGAGGTCTTCTCCAGCCTTGATGATTCTAAACACCCGTGTCCAAATACTCCTGAATGAACAGAGCCCTAAAGATCTGCATGAGGAAGATTCCTTATATCTGGGTTTAGCATATGGAGGTTGGACTGCAGAGTGAAGCAGAGAGACTTTTGTACTCTGTCCAAAGAAAGACATGAGAATTTCTGTTTCTCAAAGTGGATCCTACTTCTCCATAAAAATCATTGACTCCATGTAATTGCTGAGAAGTGTGTAAAGCCTACTATTATTTTCTACTGTGCAATTCTAAATGTTGGCAAACTATTCCCCATAGAACTGTAATCTCAATTAAACTTACAGTTTGTCTTGATTATATGAACATAATGAGATCATTTTTCCAGTTATTATTTTCCAAATGGATTCTTCTTTTACTGAGATCAGAAAAATCTTAAAAAATAGTGTGGATTCATTCCCTGTTCTCATGATGTGTGTAAGAGTTGGACTTGACACATCATCTTAAAACACTGTTTTCTGCTCCTAGTTACCATTGAGGGTGGCAGCCAGATTAACTTCTGGTGAAGAATTATAACTCCAGCTAAGTTTGATTAAAGCTGTGAATGAAAGAGATAAGTTCAGTAAGTGAAATGCTTGCATTTAGCAGGGCCTGTGGATGGTGTTGCTCAGCCAGTTTGCTTTGAAACTTATGTCAGTATCTTCAGGCCTTATAAGCACTACTTTTTCTTACTCCTGGTTAAAAAAAATGAACAAAAAACATATTTATAAAAAGATTTTTAAATCCTCTTTGTAGGCCAGTGTTAAATTCTTATCTCTTTTCTCTATGAAAACTGAAAGTCACATCCTTCCTGTCATGATTTTCCTGTGACAGGGAAGTCATACAAGCTAAGTAAATCTGGAACCTTTTTCTTTTGTTTGATTTTGGTTTGAGTTATAAACAAAGGCCTAGGTATGGACTGAGAACCATCTGAGTTTCGTTTCAAAAGAATCACATAAAAACCAGTTTGTTTTCCATAAATTAATCAGAGAACCTGTTGTCCTCAGCTCACTCCAAGTTTGACCACAGTCCTTCCCAATAAACACCATTAAGGAAACAGGTGTTTGAATTACAAAGGGAAGGAAAAAATATCACTGCTTTTAAATCTTCTTTTCATTTCTTCTTCAGCTTGTTGTGGGTTTGTTCTAGTTTTTCTTGGGTTTTCTTTAAGCAATGCATAGAAAGCCAAGACATTACAGTCTGCTTGGCTGACCACATTTAACAGATGGGTTTGTGTCTTTGTTTTTTGGAAACAACCCACAGGAATTTTGTTAGCAAACCCGCTGTTAGTAATCTTCACTAGAATTCACAATTTAAACATTAGCAAGATTAAAACCACAAGTGTTCTCATATGATATCAGTGTATGTAGATTTTCTTTTGTAAATTGCAAGGCATGTTTCAAATTAGGCAGAGATCGAGTACTTTTTGCTTGTATAAAGAATTGTGTGCTTAAATTTGGAGTAATATTTGTATTCACATGCTTTTATGACACTTGTATGTGATCTGAAAAGTCAAAACAGCTTAGTTTTCTTCTCTTTTATGTTAAAGACAGAGGTTGTATAAACTCTTGATTGGGCAATTACTTTTTTCTCTTCCAAAATATGAATAATTTCAAAAAAATGCCTGAGATTTCAGCCTTGGGTATTATCTGGCAGCTGAAGTGTCATAAACCAGATCTCTGAGGAACTATCATTGCTAGCAATTGCTCTCCTGGCATGTCCCATAGTCATCTGTGTTGGTGAGCTATGTTTTCATTGCTCCAATTTTGCAGCAAATCAATAAAACAGCTTATGAGACTTGTTTTTATAGTGCCCATGCACATCTGTGACAGTGGTGCAGCTTTAACAGTGTGACATCATTTTATTACACCAAGGGAAAACAGCAATAATGTTTGCAACAAGTAGATGGAGTTACACTTTGTAAAACCAGTACACATTGACAGAGATTCAACTACAACAGTTCCAGGCAGGTAATATTCAGGTTTATGTAACAGCATTACACTTCCTTTTCCTTTTTTTTTTCCTTTCCTTTTTTTTTATTGCTTTTTAAATTCCTTTTCCTTTTTTTTTCTTCTTTTAAAAGACAACAGAAAAGACTTTAACAGGTGATATTAGTCCCATTTGCTTAGGCTGTTCAACTTTGTGTTTTACCAAGTTTCCTTTAAACAAGATAAAAAAAGGACAGTTTCTCCTCTCACAGCTGAGCATGAAACAGAGATTTCAAGTAGAAGCTTGAAGATACTGTAAGTCATAGATGGCTAGTTATCATATAATGAACAGGAGCAAACTGTGCATTTCAAGCAACACGATTAAATATAATCCCTATGCAATTAGATATTTGATCTAACTAGTACTTCGTAAGTTGCTTTTTTTTGGTTTTGTTTAGACAATCCTTTTTTATCCCAAAATAAATATTCTGTAGCTCCAAACATATTCTCAAGCAAAGATTATACATCCTTCAATTATTTTTCATTGCTCTTTAAAATTGAAATATAATAAACCAAATTACTTTTGAATTCTGCTTCAAAGTATTTACCTCTTTAATATATATATTAATATTTTACAATTTAGCAATTGCCAGTGTTCTTCATTTGCATAACTTATAGGCATAATAGTTTTGTTATAATCTTAGAAAAACAGTAAAGGTCATATTTGTAAAGTATTAGGCCAGATGTACACTCATATTTTCTCTTTTTTAATATCTCTTTTAATCAAAAAGGCTATGCCAGCAATGACTACACTACTGGTAAAGAAATACAGTCTTAGGGCAGTTTTACTGCCTCTCAAAAATGGCAAAAACAAGATAGTGAAATAGCCTCTTGCTAAAACAAATCACATCTCCACTCAGAATGTTGGGCACTGTATTTGTAGAAACATGGCCTAGAGACCTGTGGTCAAATTTGTGCACACTACAACATGAACTTTTTAAAGAGTATCTCTAGTTTGCACTTTCTTTGTGCAGAATCATAGAATTGAAGGGTTGGAATGGACCTTAGAGATCATCTAGTCCCAACCCCCTGCCCTGGGCAGGGACACCTCCTCACTAGATCAGGTTGCTCAAGGCTTCATCCAACCTGGCCTTGAACACTGCCAGGGTTGGGGCAGCCACCACATCCCTGGGCAACCTGTTCCAATGTCTCACTGCCCTTAGAGTAAAAAACTTTTTTCTCACATCCAACTTAGACTTTCCCTCCTTCAGTTTGAATCTATTGCCCCTTGTCCTATCACTGCAGTTCCTAACAAAGAGACAATTTGATAGACAATAGACAATTTGATTTTTTTGAACACTGCCAGGGTTGGGGCAGCCACCACATCCCTGGGCAACCTGTTCCAATGTCTCACTGCCCTTAGAGTAAAAAACTTTTTTCTCACATCCAACTTAGACTTTCCCTCCTTCAGTTTGAATCTATTGCCCCTTGTCCTATCACTGCAGTTCCTAACAAAGAGACAATTTGATAGACAATAGACAATTTGATTTTTCATTTGTTATATTTTAGAAAAAAAAAAAGTCTTTCATTGCATTTTCTTTCTTGCTTAGAATTGACAGTGGTTTTTTATATTTCTCTGGCTCTAAAAATGGGGAGAACAGTCTTTTCGGGTCTTATAAAGCATTTATGCTATTTCTTGCCATTTTAAGGCCTGATGATACCTAGATTGAGAAGTACTTGACTGAGAGCTTGAGTCTCTTGTAACATTTGGCTTACCTAAAAGATTCAGGAGAAAGCAAAATAGCGCTGGAAACTCTTTGCATGTATTTAGAGGCATTAGTGCAAAGACATGGATCCTTCTTGATGTGTCTTCCTCCTACCTCTCAACCTGCCTACATAAATGTGCAATAAGCTAAATAATGACTCCTTTGTCCCCCAAACAGCAAATAGGATCTTGAGTTTGAATAGAGGAACCGAAAAGAGCAAGAATGATGTTGTTCATTATACGCTCTTGACACGTGTAGATGTGGCACTTAGGGTTTAGTGGTGGACTTGGCTGTTCCGTGTTAACAGTTTGACTCAATGATCTTAAAGGTCTTTTCCAAACTAAATGATTCTATGACCATTTCCACTGCTTTTGTTCAATTCTTCCACCAACTTCTTTGAATAATTTTTGGTAAAGGGGAATGAGATTTGTGGAATCATCTTCATTTCCTATGTTTTCTTCAAGGCCTTTTCTGTGTCTTTGGGCAAACCATGTGACACTCTGTTTCCTAGTCCTTTAAAAATAATACTTTGCAGTATCTTTCCTAATTTATATTGCTATGGCCATGGTCTGCTTTGAATTGTGGAAGAGGGATGATAGAAAAGTCAGGTGGTATCAGAGAGACTAGTTTTCACTCTAGATGTTGACAAACTTGAATGTTGTTAGTTATACCTCTGAATTATTTCCAGGTTTAAATGTATGTATTCATTCAGACACAATGTGTGCAAGACCATTTGAAAGTTTTAAATCACAAAATGTCATATATCACAGTCAGTAAAAGCACCAAAAGCAAATTTTTGACTATTTACATAATGATACCAAGACTTAACTGGGGTTAAGTTTTAGCAATAACTATTCAGATACATTTCATGCTGGTTTTAATCCATTATATGGGTCAAACAGTCTCTAAAATCTTATGTGGAAATATGTTGTTTTGTCTAGAACTATTTGCAGCCAAACATAACTGAATACTTGAATTCTGAGTATAATACTGAGTAAGTTTTTGAGTGCAATCCAATGCAAAGTAGTTGAGAAATGTGTCGAATTACTGCTCAAAACTTTTGGGTCTGATCATGATTTTGACTGATTTGAAGGCTTGCCTGTATCCCGTGGGAGTATCATCGGAAACCCCGTGCCACGTGCCCCAGAAAATGCCGTTGCGGACACCTTTGTATTTCTTGTGGTAGTACTTGCCGTTGAGGTTGGCTGACAAGCAGGCATCAAACCACCAGCCAGAGCTGTAATATGCTCCACAGTTTCCTGAGGGATACCTGTCATTGTCCTTGTCTGGAGTTGTGAAAAACTTTTGGTCGTGGTTGTAACTCCTGCTGTAGTGAAGGGCATCTCCGGCCGTGCCGCTGTAGCCGTGGACGCTCAGACGGTACTTTAGGTACTCGTTGGCCACATAGAAGTGTTCATATTTTGCATATTCTCTGATTCCATTGAAATCTTCAAGATCAATTCTCAGTTGCATTTCCTGGCTCTTTGTCAGGAGGTGGATTTTGTCGTTCCCCAGCCAAAACTCCCTGCTGAGGTTGCCAAAACCATTTTTGTAGTCGTTCCAGGTTCTGTTGAAGTTAGTGCTGCCATCCTGACGCCGCTGCAGCACTGTCCAGCCACCTCCATGTGTTTGCATGTCACAGTAGACTTCAAAGCTATCGTTTTTGGGGTCAGGGCTAATCCTGTAGATTCCATTACTCCTTTTCCCTGCTGTGTAATGGTCAGCACAGTCTCTCTGCATTATTTGTATAACTGGTGGAAAAACAGATGGTGTTAGAATAAAAAATAATTTTTTAGCCAAGGTGCTGTGGCATACAGAACTTGCATTGGAGAGACTTTTACATTGGAAATAGCATTGCAGCAATTTCAGTTCTAGGGGGAAACAGGTTTTTTCCATCAGGTTTACTTTATGATAGATGCAACCTAAGATCTCTGCATCAGATAGATGTTCAAAAAAAAACCCATTTAAATGACTTTTTATATCAAACTACCTAATGCAAGGACATTGTCACAGAATCATAGGATCATTGAACCATCAAAGTTGGAGGAGACCTCTAAGATCAAGTCCAGCCATTAACCTGCCACTCTGCTGGAACCCCTAAACCAGATCCTCCAG